GTCGAATTTTAAGTTAACAATAAGCAAGATAAGTTATGAAAAGCCACAAACAAGAAAAGTCATCAAAGAAATATCGATAACTAACTTGAATTTCAAAACAACCTCCGCCTACTGAAAATTTACAGCTTTTGCATGTCACGCTTCGAAAATTACTTTACCTTTGGCTTTGTTTTGGTAAGTCCAGCTCTATTTGGTTGTAAGAAAGCTAGTTTAGACTACTTTTTCGCACGCTGTTTTACTTTTTTCTTCATCTTTGTATAAACTTTTCCCTTGTTTTCGCAGACCATATTGTTCTTGAACTTCCTTCACTACATTGCTCATATAGTAAAGAATGTTTTCTATCGAATTCAAAAATGGTTGTTCAGAAAAAGGTGTAAAATTCTCGTAAATGCAAACTTCACTTCGTTCGCCTCCATCGACTACATAATTTTTCCTTTCTTGTCCGCTCTTGAAGTAGATCAACAAGGACCAATCAGATGCCGCCGTGTAATATGTGCGCGCGTTGTGATTGGTTGTCTAAAAATAGATTATCGGGACATCTGATGGTGTCAATATTATTGGGGAGATGGACACTTCTGGTTATGTACTTCTGGCCACAATCAACCTCCATACTATCTAACCGTTTAGACGGGGGTGACATTTAGAAGTATAGGTCTCTTAGAAACGGTGCAAATGAGACTAAAAATATTGATAGGAGGTCATGGAAGTTGATACCATGGAGGCAGCGAGTAGTCTCTATCATATCGAAAGAGAACTGGCAATGGCAAGATCTAAAAAAATATTTTGAATACTATTTCGTATTTTAATTTGCCATTTATTATATAGCTGTTTCAAAAAAGGTTGTCGAACGGCGATTGCACAACGGAAAGTAGCAATGGGTTTTGATTTTCATTATTTTATAATTATTTAATAATTTCCTAATATTACGTACTCTTCCTCTTATCGCTTTTTCCCCTTTTTTCCTCCTTGTAAAACTGTGAATTTTTGAACATTTTATACTAGTTTTCTCCCTTATCGCCCTCGCCTCGAATAGTCCTAGACTAACTGCGAGGGCTGACTTTAATTGTAATCAAATTTAACTGTTGTTGTTGTTGTTGTTTTTGTTTTTGTTGTTAATGTACTGTAAGATGATCTGTGGTAAACATTGGATCCATTTTGTCTCAATTTCTATGTAAGGTGAATCCAATAAGTAAAATTTTGTTTATCAAAACAGCGTAACCATAGTCCCTTTCGGTCGTGCAATCTACCATCGACAATCGCCGTTCGCAGTTCTCCCCGACAACGATTCTTGAAATCGCTTTATAAGTAATGTGYTTGCTTGTTTAATAAAATTCGATTTATGAAATCCACTTGCGTTCATACCGTCATTTCATGRTAAAACCATCCCTCTCTTTTCCTTATCTTGTGTGGATTTGCTTTTTTACTTGAGTTATTCAACTCACATAAAAACATTCCTTCACTTGTTTGGCGAACATTTATCGAGAAGCACCATGGCAACCAAACGCAGTCACCCCAGCAGAGATTCTTTATGTTTTTGGTTACGGTCTTGATCACGTGACCCTCAAGAGCCTCTTGTTCAGCGCTTTCAGCGAAGCGGTACACTTCACAGCAGTATGTGAATTGTAGATGAATTGCARACAAAAAGTACAGRAGATTGAGAATCTGAATCAAAAAAACAAGTAAGTTWTAATCCTAAGTCGGTCGGAATTCGTTATTGTTACTACTCCAGTCTAAAGGTACAAAGGTACATTATTTTAGCGCTGAAAGCGTGGACTAGAAGAAACGACCACAGGCAACGATCAAAGTCATTGCATACAAAAGCTTGCATCAACTTCCGGTGATCACGCCGCCAACAATGCCCGCCTATAGCACWCGATTTCAATCATTTTGCYCATTTATTCAGAATCGGCTCTAAAATGTCTATTATTACCATTAGATTTATGAAAAAGGTAATATGTAATATATACAATATGAGCGGGCGATCTGTATGAGGATTTAAAACAGCGAGCTGAAAGCGAGCTGTTTTAAACCTCAT